TGGGGCTGCTTGCCGCCCCTCAAGGCAGGGTGCAGGGCACTCAAAAGGGCAGAGAAGGTGGGGAGATGGGTGGGGGGAGTTGATGTGCCCCTGAGGTGGTAAGTGCGGGCAGGCTGCCAGCCACCCAAATTTTGATCACGTGACCATAGGAGTGCTGCAGTGGCCATAACTTTGAAGACTAGTTGTAAGTCCATTTTTCCAGCACCATCGTAACTTTGAATTGTCGCTGAATGAATGTTTGTAAGTCAAAGACTACCTGTAGTCTTCTAATTCTTGCTTAAAAGCTTCCTTGCCTCTCAGCAGTGTCTGAATGGAAGATGCTCATTGGTAACCTCCAACAATCTATTTAGCATTGTTACATTGCAGGACTGAGTTGGAAGGGAATATAGATTCAGTGCTTGAGCAAAGCCAGCCAAGTTTGGGGATATCATAGAAAGTGTATTTAACTCCTAAAGAAATATGGATGTTGTTCATTCAGTTCCAAGGATACATTGTGCAACAAAGGAATGCTTAAGAGAGAGAATCATATTGAATTTTCTCTGTCTTTATTGAGCTTTGTGTTACTCTTAAATTATTATTATTATTTTTTTTGGCGAAAAGTTACCTCATGCTATGTTGAAATTAGCTGAAATTACACTCTGGGAATATTTAGAGAGCATTAAAGGTGGTTCAATCTCATAAAAAGGTGGCCAATATTTACCACTCGCAATATAGATATATTGGGACTTTGTACTACTCTATTCTGTTCCCCTTTTCACAAAAATAGCTCACTAGAGTGGTGCTGAATGTGCCAGGAGTGATGTGTCAAAAACACTGGCTCATCTGGTGATGGGGCAGAAAATGAGTGAAAATACAAAAGTTCTTTGATTCTCTCCTGCAGGTTTATTGCTGACAGGGAAGAGCAGCTCTTCCCTTTTTTTTCAGAGGTCAGTAATAGACAGGAAAAACACTGAAAGAAAACCAATATTTATTATTAGATTTAGAGTGGTAATGTTACCTACTTGGACCCCCTTCTTCTTGCTTCTCCAAGTTGAGATATTTGGATGAGCTTCTCTTTATGGTAATTATCACTGCAGTATTGTGGGGGGAGGGGGGGAACTGTTTGCCATAATGTGCAACTGCTGGAGATTAAAAGAAAGGTATTTATCTGAAGGCAACTAGTGTACATTAAAACCTTTAGCCACTTAGTCTTATATTTGCAGACAGTTCTAATATTAATGGTTGGCATTGTGCTTATGGAGGTGGGAAAGAAGACTGGAGCAATGGTGTCCACTTCCTATCATGTGACATATCTGTTGAAATATTTGCATTTCATGATCAATTGAAATTTTTGTTTGAAAATTTAAGAAATTGGTAGTCAGAGTATATAAATTAGGATGGGATTATCTGAATTTAATACTGGCTTCAATGTTAATATAACTGAATTAGGAAATTCTGAAGTAAAGGGCACCTATTCAACTTACTTCACTGATAGAGACAATAGATGTACATTTATTTCATGGTAACAAATACCTTTTGGGAAGTCTAAAACAGGAGAAAATTACATTAAGTATACTTTCTGTTCACTTAACTAATTGGTACCAGTTGCAGAAGAATAATTAGTTTCATAAATATTTAAGTGCTATTTTCAGTTGTGTCCTATATGCAATTTTCACTTGCTTTTTCCATGTTTCAGTCATATTAGAATAAATTATATTTCAGTGTAAAGCTGCTTATTTTTAGCATTCATGAATTTATCTGAAGTTCTAGACAGAACATTTTAAAGTAGGTATAGGTAGATAGCTAGATATAGATATAGATATATGTAGTATTTCTGTTGTTTACATACATTTATATCTCTTCTTCCCAGTCCTCATTTCTATTGTCTTTCTAACCGGCTGAAAACCACTTTTACTATTTCTGTTGACTTTGGCTAGCTTGTTCCATTCATAATGTGTTTCTGTCTTTTAATATCTTTGAATTAAGGGGGAGGCCCTGAGACAGGTTTTGGTAAATCGTTACTATGGAAACATTAGAAGTGGAGGAAGACGAGAGAGCCTCACCAGCTTTGGCAATGGCCCTCTATCTCCTGGAGGCCCCAGCAAACCTGGGGGAGCAGGTAGGATGTTCCGTGTGCTCCTTGATTACTTGTGAGACTGCTATGTTGGCTCTTCTATCTCTTAATTACTAGTTGAATACGTCTGACAGTTTTAGCAACTGTTTCAGCAGGTATTTTTTGTTATATATTACCTCTTTGTCACTCAGAAATTGGTCTCCTGAATTAATTCGTAAAGTGTTGGAAATTAGTCTGTTCATTAGCTTCCTCTCCCACCCCTCCTGCCCTCCCCCTTCTTTTTCCAACCTATTACGCATGCATTTTTACCAACTCGGAACTTGTTGATATTCATAACTTTCTTTGCTTGTCTTTTTATTAAAATCAGTAACTACGAAGCTTAGTTCTATCATATATAATTTATTAAAGAGATAGAGAGAGAGAAACTGTGAAAATCAAACAGCCTGTTTTGTGCAGTGGCTAAGGTGCTGGGCTAGAAACCAGGAGGTTGTGAGTTCTAGTCCTCCCTTAGCATGGAAATCAGCTGGGTGACTTTGTGCCAGTCCTTCTCTCAGACCAACCCACCACCCAGGATTGTTCTTGTGGGGAAAACTGCCAGTATATACGCCACCTTGAATTCAGCAAAAATAAAGATAGGACAAAAATCTAATAGAATAAATAAATCTTGACAGTCTTAATGTAACAGTTTAGATGGAGGGGACCAGATTCCCTGGCTGTTTATATCATTTAATAATGACATCATTACACAGATGACAACATTTAAGTCATTTGTATTGCTGTGATGAAATATTCTTTAATTTACAGAACTTTGGGGAATAATTGATATACCCCGTTAGTCCATTAAGACAAGTTTCACTGTCTGTGTATAGAGAGACAGACACATACACACACCAAACAGACACTTGTTCATATACAGACCTACATACAGATATAAATACAGGAATGAAAACAGGACTCTAGCCCCTGTGCTTGAAAATGTATCTGAATAAAGCTTAGAACTGATTATCCAGACAGTGCCTTCCACAAGTTCTCTTATTGGTCATCTAACCCCAGTATCTATGTTTTTCTTTATACTAAGACTCTCATTAGTGTCAATAGCTTTTTCTGTTTTCAGAACAAATATACATATTTCTGGCCCCCATATCATAAATAAGTAATATTTTTCCAAAAATGTTAGTAAATATGTCCAGGATCTGCCTTCACCATATAGCAACCTTTCTACATATCTTTGTAATTTAATTGTTTAGCCTTGAGCTTTTTTTCTTCAAAGTTTTCTAACTTACTGAAGTGATAAAATGGTGACTTTAGAAGGGAGCAAGTGATATGCAACTACAGGTGGTTCTTGCTTAATAATGGTAATTGGGACCAGCAACTCCATCGCTAAGCGACACAGTCATTAGCGTGACATCACGTGACTGCGCCAACTTACGACGGCAGTTGTGGCAGTTCCGGTTGCCGTTGTTAAGCAAATCCCACACGATCATTAGGCACAACATCATGTGATGCCATTTGCGACCTCCTGACGGTTCCTCCGTTGACTTTGCTTGTCGGAGGCTGGCAGTGAAGGTCACAAATGGCAATCACATGACCACAGGATGCTGAGACTGTCGAAATTGTGAGCCAGTTACCCTGCCCAAATCACAATCACGTGATGGCAGGGACCCTGCAACATCCACAACTCCAAGGACTGGTCAGAGGTCTTCTCATTCAGCGCCGTCATAACTTTGAAAAGTCACTGAACAAGTGGTCATTAAACCTGTAGTGGTCAAGGACTATTTGTAGTGACAGACCATCTGATCAGAGGAGAAATATGAGACTGCTAAGAGGCTATAGTTTTAATTATTTACGTGCAAATTGTCCAGTGTCATCTCTGAATTACAGAATTAAACAGGAGGTGATTAAGTTGGAAAGTCACTATAACTCTTATGAGACCGCATGGACCCCAGTCTCTGATATAATGACAATTCCTATATTCTGATCAGTAATAGGTATTCTAATGGGCCCAAATTGCATTTATTTTTATTGTCTTAACCAAATTGCAAATTTTTCAGGTTGGAAAGGAAAACTGGAATTAAATGAAAAATTGCATAGTTTGTGCCACTACAGTGATTAATGGATTGTACTAGTTTGCCACCTAATAATAGAAATTCTCTGGACAGTTTACAATCAATCTGTAATAGCCCCTGAACCAGTCTTTTTAGAACCACTTGGTAGGTTCCCATTTTCAAATGGTTTTAATTACTTTGGTTAAATTATTCCTAATTTAGTAGTTTGTGATTGTTTTATGATATAGAGTTGTGAAACAATTATAACATTCTATTTATAATACTATCACTTCTGAGCTCCTTGAGGTAAGAGAGAATATTAAAAAATGAACAACTTTTTAATGACACCATCATCTGTCAGCATCATAAAGAGCAAAGCAAGATAGTACAAAGCAGACAATAAATGAGAACATATTCACAGTTAAAACTTTCCTTTCCTTCTTTCTTTAATTTTTTTACATGAGTGAAGCACATGTTCTAATGCTAAGGAACACAAAAAGCTTCATTTGTTCATTTCTTTTTCTAGGAGGTGGATCAGGTTCCAGCTCAACAAACCGTGGTGAAATGAGTTTGACAGAAGTCCAGTGTCACCTGGATAAGGAAGGAGCATCCAACCTAGTTATAGACCTCATCATGAATGCCACTAGTGACAGAGTTTTCCATGAAAGTATCCTGTTGGCTATTGCCCTGCTGGAAGGTGGCAACACAATTATACAGGTAGGAAAAGTACTGCTATGCTTCTGTTTCTGAATCTTTGAAAAAAACATGAAGCAGAAAGAGGCAGTTTTTGCAGATCTGTTAGTACATTTGGAATCTTGAGACTATGTTGTATGAATTCTCAGAAATGGCTGCCATGGGAGTATCAGCAGTCACAAAATACCATTTGCCCAAAGGCAGATGGGTGGGGTACCCTGCTTCCAATATCTCAATCACCATAGCTTACTTTTTTAGCAGGAAGGGGATTCACTGCTAAACAAAGAGCTCTGTTGCAGCCATACACCATTTCTATTTTCTATTTTCTATTTTATTTTTTGTATGTGTCTTCGAGTCAGTGTTGACTCCTGGTGACTGCCTGGACTAGTCCCTGCAGTTTTCTTGGTAAGTTTTTTTTGGAAGTGGTTTGCCCTTGCCTGCTTCCTAGGGCTGAGAGAGAGAGAGAGAGACTGGCCCAAGGTCACCCAGCTGGCTTGGTACCCAAGGCAGGTCTAGAACACGAAGGCACCAGGCTAGAAACCAGGAGTGTGTCATTCATTCATTCATTCATTCATTCATTCATTCATTCATTCATTCATTCATTCAT